CTGTCTGATGATGTGGGTAAGTCTCATAGGTGAGCATCTTTTTGTTTGCTCAGCAGAGAACAACAGTTACAAAATGTAAATAGGGTGCCTCTTCCCTTTGGGTGCCCTGGGATATGCAGAATAGATTAAGTTGGCTTTGTGCAAAGCAAACAGGTCTGTATTACCCAGAATATGAATAATGTCAGTTTCCATAATTGCTAACATCTGCCTTTCCATAAATCTGTTAAACTGCGTGAAAGCCGAATTAGATTTCTGTGTTGTAAGTAAAGCAATTACATGGAACTCTGTAGGCAATATGGTGCTGTGTTCAACTGTGAAATCTTTTCACTCTGGAGAGGTGAAAGCAACTATGCCTTTGTACCCTATTTTTTATCATACACAATAGATGTATTTGTCTTTATGCTCAAGGTTTCTTGATTTGTAAGGGGAAAGCACTGCCAAACTGTTTGCAACATTGTAAACACAAAATGTCCAATTATTATAAAAGCACATTGTTCCCAGGAACTAATTACGAGGTTAGAGATTACTTTAGAAGACACCATAAATTACAGAGCCTTTTGTAGCCACTATTAGCAGATTGGTAGAAATTACACTTGCCAGCAATTTCTGATGTGATTTGTTAATGGGTCATTCTCTGCCTTTGTCCAGCCCCATTTGACCAGAAAATAAAATGCTTTCAGTTGTGGCATGGGGTCCAGTTAATATTCTACTGTATTAATTCTCCCTTGGGCCAGATTCAAGGGCTTTTGCAGATGAGAAGTCAATAATAAATAACAAAACATTTTCAATGCAGGGCAAGGTGATGGCTCTGCCTCGCTGTCATTGAACACTCTAAAGACTCCATTTTAACCAAGTAGTCTTTTTAATAGTCTTAGTCTGAACTTTGTGGGTTTAGGCAAGTTAAATTAAATAAATACATGTAACACCCACAGTCATCCTGCTGCTTTTGGTTTTGTGAAGAGAAAGAAATAAGATTTAGTCTCTGCGCTGAATGAAATAACTATTCATGGAGAGGAATATATTGTGTGTAATTCCCCAGAGGTGACTGTAAGAATAAAATCATGTGTGGGGCACAGGGAGCAAAGTCAATGTTTGTTCTCCTCCCCAATGAGGAATGACGATGCTGAGTGTGAATTTTTAAGACTGCATTGAAGTAAAGGTAGTGCAGTAAAGGACACGCTTATTTTACCAATTAATTAGCTTATACCTCATTTCATTCCACAGAGGTTAATAATTAGTAGCCCTATAATTAAAAAAAAAAGAAAGAAAGAAAAGAAAAAGAAAAAGGCCTGGTCTATGATACACGGGAACCAACATAGCCTGTGTGTGATCTTCCATTGAATGTCACAAACACATACATGTTTGTGTGTGTTTTTGAATTAATATGTAAAGCAGTATATATTAGGAAGTTGAACATATTTTATAATACATTGTGTAATGGCTAAGGCAAGTTAACTAACACATGCATTACCTTACATGCTTGTCATTTTTTGTGGTGTGAACACAAAATAATATTCTTAGTTTTTTTCAAAAATACACTATTTTGACAACTGTAGACACCATGTCCTACAGTGGGCCTTCACCTACCTGACATTTTGCATCTCTTGCTGTCACATGAAAAGTGAAGGGCTAAAAGATAATGATTGAAGTGTTAAAGAGCTGATAGCTTGAGCCTTCCATTAGAAGCATCAGAGTAATACAGATGCGTTGTAAATACAGGAGTGATGCAGACAGCTTGCTTTTTAGGCGCCACCATGCTGTGAAAGATGTGGATGGCAGTGGTTTTCGTGGGGCTGAACAGAATCCAGAGGTCTTTGTCTTTATACCAGTTCAGTCAGCTCCTGGTGGTGGTAAACATGAGCTCTTGGCATTTTTTAAGACTGCAAACAGTGTGGTTACTGCATTATCATGAGAAGTGGCGGAGGCAAGGAGACCAGTTTGAAGTCTGTGACAGGAATCTCACTGTGGTGAATGGGAAGATATGAATCCACAGAGCTTAAAGCAACCTGAGTTTGTATTATTTTATTTTATATATGATGAACCATTTAGCTATCTTTCACTACCTATGCATCATCTATCTCCCTACCTATCATATCCTCCTATATTTATGACAACTAGGTTATAAATATGATGAGAGAAATATGTGATTGAATATTTTGAATATGCTACTTTCAAAAAAATGAAGAAAGAAACAAACTAAGGAGCAGGAGTAATGTGCATGTGATTGTTCAGTGTTGATTCACAGTGGCATATCCCTAAATACGAAGGCATTGTCTACTAGTCGTCATTGCTATGAGCGTTCAGAAGATGTGAATGATGAGATTGAATTGGCAGTGGGTTGGGAAATGCTTAACTGAGAAGGCAGAAGGTGAATTTTGTATTAAATATTTGCATTAATCTAATGAAGAAACAGATGATATATTCGGAGCCCTTGTTCCATTACCTATAGTGTTATTGTCAGGAGACCATCAGTGGATGATAGGTTCATGTGGGTGATAAAGGACTGTGACTGAAACTAATGTGCCCAGCAGCATAAGCCATGGGGCGTAAAATCACTGGGTTATAAGGGAGAGCTTGCTTTCAGCCTGGTTCCCCGACGTTTTCATTCAGTGCCAGCTTTATTTGGGAAGAATTAGAGGAAGAAGGAGGGGGAGACATGCAGGAATTTGAAGAGCACCATGCAGTGGGGTGCACTGAGATGATCTAGCGTTACCTGGAGAGAGAGCGTGAGGCCTGACAGTGACTGACCTGAAACCCAAGCCTGATAATTGGGATCATTTGTGCCATTTCCAAGACTGTTCCTCAGTCCAGCGGTTTGACTCAGGCTATAATTGGTGGGAAGCAAACAAAACAAAACAAATATACAAAAAAATATTATGGAATTACCTTCCACAAATTTTGCTGTAGTTGTTTAATATCTTCTACTTTGCATCAGCGCTGTGAATTAAAGTCCATACTAAATACAATACATGCTGTCAGGCCATTTATTTCTCATTATTTTTAAGTCATGTTTGCTTCAAAATTTTAGCACACTTTGGGTAATTATTCTTTTTCTGAGTTTCAACTAAAACTATATTCCATATAAAAATTATTTATAAGGGACGATTGATGCTCATACGGAATGTTCAATTTTAAAAATTACAACAATGAAATACACTTTGCCATTAATCCCTCTCAAACTACCAACCCCTCATCAAATACACCTAGCCCAAGGCAATATGCCTTCTAAATGAATGGGTGTTTTTTTGTTTGTTTTTAAAATGCAATCAGTCTTTGTGGGCAAGCTCTTGCCCTGGAAAGTGAATTTCAGTGTTTATTTTGGGGTAAATTTCAGGGTAAATAGTTTAAAAGTAGGTAAAGACCCAGAACATGTTTATGCTCAAAAAGTCTTCAGACCTCTGCTGGTGCAGGTTGCTGGAGAGCATTATAGCGCATCAATCAGAAAAACAAGGACAATTCCCGCCCTGTGATCTGCTGCCTGTGTAACCAGTATATCCTCAGTTATCTCTTTCATAAAAGGAAAATAAATATTTCAGACTTATGATTGTGAACCCTAACTCATCAAAGTAATATAAAAACTATATATATATATATATATATATATATATATATATATGCATATAACCCTATCCATATGTGTATATAAATATATAAAATTGTAGCACTGGATAGTAGCTCTTTGCAATTGCTTTGGTGTACCATAAGAGAATACGCTGTTTATGAGTTTTTAAAACTTTGATTCCATTATCCCTCACCAAATGCTTACAAATTTATGTATGTTTTAAGATGAAATTTAGGATTTAGAATAAGTTACTATTCTGTTTTGTTTTCCTACAGAAGTAGTCAAGTCTACCAAAAAGTATCCTACTAATAGATATTTATATTTGTTCCAGTGGTCAGCTTATGATCTTAAGGAGGTAATAGCTTAGAGATTAACTTCAACACTTAAAACATATAGTGTGCAAAGAATCTTGTGCATAGCATGTTGTTAAGAAAATCTAGTTCATATTACTATCTGAAGGGTACTTGCAGACAGTAGATTACTCAAGGGAAATGGAGGACTCTGATAGACAAATTACAGGGACCTGCAGATGGCTTAAAAATGTTACAAAAATGAAAGACCTCTGAGGGAACCTCACAAATAGTACCAGTGAGTAGAAGTTGCCAGGTCATACGTTGCCTCTCAGTTTTACAAGGAGATTTGTTTTAAAAAGTTATTCACAGGTACCATTGGCTGCCTAGTGAGGGAATGGATTGCCCTCTGGGAAAGATTGCAATCCAGGCTAGCCAGGCATGTGTTTAGGGTATTGCAAAGCTCTCACTCTGCTTTGCCCAGCATAATAAGCTGGCTGGATCTACATCTTGCTTTACTGGGATGTCAATGAAAAAAGCATACCCTAGATACGTATTTCATCAGCAGCCATACCAGGCTCTACTCCAGCTCTGGTTTTTGGTATGTGGTATCAAAATACACCTATCATTACGGTGGAAGGAATTCAATTAGCTGTCAATAATTAGTCACATTTATAGTTCAGCCTTGAATTCAAGATTGGGGAAAGGGAGACCTAACTGGGTCCAGGTTGCCTCACTGCCCTCTTGTTCCTACTCAGTTGATAATCTGTGCACACAGTGAATGAATCAGCGGAGTGTATGGCATCTGGATAATCGAGCACTTGAGAATATCCTAAAAGCAGTCATAGGTGCTACTAGATATTTTGATAGCTGGAGTCAGGCAGGTCTGGGCTTGATTTTTCAGGATAATCAGTTGCTATTTAACTCTAGTGGCCTCTGTTATTTATAAGGCAAGAATAAGAGCAGAGCCTCCCACACAAAGCTGCCTGACAGAGGAAGGAGATGATGCATGGGAAGAGCTTGGCACAGCAGCCATACTGGGGACAAGGTGCATGTCTGATAGTGTCACTCAGTGTTGTGGCAGATGATTGTTACTTTTGTGCATTCCCTTGGCAAGACCCTAAAGCCCTGTGCTTTGTTCCTTGCAGACATTGATGAATGTGCCTTAAGAACTCACACCTGTTGGAATGATTCAGCCTGCATCAACTTGGCCGGGGGCTATGATTGTCTGTGTCCCTCTGGGCCCTCCTGTTCTGGCGATTGTCCCCACGAAGGAGGTCTGAAGCACAATGGGCAGGTGTGGACCCTGAAAGAAGACAGGTGCTCTGTCTGTTCCTGCAAGGTGAGGCTGACCTGGTGCAGGGGAATCTGCAAGTACTCTTCTCTCCCCCATCTTGACCTTTCTGCCTCCCACTTCTTGCCCTGTGGGTCCTCGGTAGTTCCTGAAAAGCTCCTCCTGTTCTGATCTACACTTCCGCTAACAGTGATGCTGCCTGACAGGAAACGTGCTTTGAATCATTGTGCACTTGGTGAGAAGTGAGTCTGCTCAGAGACTGCAGCAAGGGAAAGCAGGGCAGGGAAAGCAGTGATCCTCTGCCCACTAGGAGCCTCCAATTTAAGGTTGGCTACAGGAGAGCTTAACAAGCCCTCTCCCTGCTCTTCTGTAAACTTTCTCACTGAAACCATACTTTGCCTAAGATGATCACCTGCATGAACTTGCTCACTTTCTGTAGCTTCCAGAACAGTGAGGCTCAGTTTCTTGCTTCCAGCGACCAGACAGGTGGACTTCCACTCCAAGCTAACAATAACAATAGTACAAGTTCTCTTTATCATTGGATTCTTTTTTAACCTTCTCAGTCCTGGGCCATTCCTCACATTAAATTGCTTGCCAGTGAGCTTAATACTTACGGAAATAAAATTCTGTCACCATGTGGTTTTATTATATGCTTTGTGAAATGGGGCTATTAAAGTATTTGATTCCCTTGTGCTTTAGTGTTTCTTTTGTTGATCTTTCCCATTTATTTTTATTTGTTATTACCTTAATGTAGCTGTTGCCTTGAATTTCTATGTCCATTGGGAAGAGACTATTTAATCTTGGGATTTACGGACATGAAAACCAAGAGCAATTATTTGCTTATGATTCTATTACAGAGTCAGGTATCCTGATAAATTCACAGTGTGCTTTCCAGAAACAGAACTAGAATAAGCATTAAAAACAATAAAATTCATCTGCCCAGCCTTCAAGTCTGCTATAGACCAAGAGACTCAGGGGGACCTCTTTAGGAAAGCAATATTGCTCTCAACCTATTGCATAACATTTGCATTTTCCTCTTATGCTTAAACTAAGTTCCAAGCCCCCAAATTTAGGTTTATTTCTTCCATTTATTGATTACCTGCTGTTTTGGACACTCTCTGTGTGACATTCATTATAGCAAATGATATAAAAGGAAAAAGCTCAGTCTGTAAGGGGCAAGTAACTTGCCTAAGTACTGAAGATACAAGTGATTATCTAGACCTGGGACATTTTCACAGTCCACAAGGACTTTGAGCTCATTCATTGCAAGGCTCATAGTTTTCATATTGCCACATGTCATGCAAATGCTACAGATGATACCTATTGGTAATGTTAAAATGGGCAAATTTGTTAATCCATTTTATTGATTGATCAGTGTAGCTCGAGTTCTCTAGTATGTTAATAGTGGAGAGACATTTTTAAAAAGCTTAACACATTGACTATAATATTTAATCATATAGTATTGACTCAAAGGACAGCATTTGCTAGAAGAAAACAAATCTTAACACCATACTGTGATTTGTTGAGAATTATATCTGTAACCCCAGAGGCAGCCAGAGGCAGAGGGGCAGCAGGAGGAACTGGCAGATGACTGAGAGTGGACTTTTGACACAAAGCCAGAAGATTCAGAGCCCAGGAAGAATTGCTTGGTGGCCATCAATAAGACTGAGCAGGCCATGGATCTGATGAAGAATCATCTAATGGTAGCTGTGAAGGAGAAGTTGGAAATCTTGAAGAAACAAATCAGGGAGCGAATGAACCCCAAGCTGGGCTCTGAGCTGACCTCAAGAAGACCCTCCTACAGATCCTAGAAGACCTATAGCAACCAGAGAAGATGCCATCCAGGCCGAGCTTCAAGGAGCCAGCTCCAGAGTCCCTACCTGTACGTCCCCAAAATGAAAGGAGCCATCAAACTTGCTCTCTCTAGTTCCTGTCAGTTTTTCTGCAGCCCGCATGCATCATCTCACTTGAAGAAATGTTCCAAAGAAAAAGCCACCTTCGTCCACCCCAGTGACAGACCCCTGACAAAGAGCAGGTCATTAGAGGCTGAAACACAAGTCTTAGTAACCCCAATCTGATGAACTGCTAGTATCACAGTGATCTGAGAGCTTCAATATCTTGGGCAACTTAGCTGCAACTGGAAAATAACAAACTTGGCTTGAAATGTGATGCCAGTTTGCTCCAGGAATTACAAGGGTCCTGTTTTTTCATTTCCTTGGACATCTTCAACAGCTTCACTTGACCACATTCATCCATAGGAAGAAGCCACCTGTGTGTGAGGCAGAGACAACTTCTCCCTTCTCGCCTTCCTCTCCAAAGCAGGGGCCACAAATGGGAGACATTGAGCCAAGGCAGCCTTCTGTTGTTTAAGATGGCATAATGCATGGTACTGTGCACAGCCTAGCTTGAGATATAGTTTCGGGATGATGGCTAACAAAGGTCTACATGATTAGTGTGATAAATCAGCTTGGGGTTTACACAGTCATTTGAGAAAAACATATTTTTAAAATTTTGTGGGGAACTTTTAGGTGAACAGAAAGTCTCAGCCTACTGTGGATGAAGAAAGAGGGAATGGTTTTGATCCCATGGGGTCAGAAAGTTGTGGCAGGGAGCTGGGCTCTGATGTATTCTGAAAGTGTGAACACTTCCACTATCTGACTCATCATCCCAGTGTGTGTCTTCACTTCAGGATTTGCATTGATTTCCTTTGTAAAAAAAAAAAAAAAAAAAAAAAAAAGTTTTTTTAAAATTTTTATTAGTACACGTTTTCTGTGCATAATAGTTGTATTCATCATGGAAATGTAAGACTAGTATAAGGAAAATTCTGTTGAAATTTTCTGGTGTTGCTTGAAATTTTAATAAACTTTGTGAGTTTTTTCCTAAAAGAGCAAGAGAGAGAGAGAAAAAAAAACTTCACCGTGGGCTAGAATAGTGGAGAAGACATAATGGAAGAGGCTTTGTGTTCAGCCAGCAAAATGAGCATTCTTTGCTAATTTCTTTTTTGAGAAAATATTGTTTGCCCAAACTTTTGAGGATGACAACAGCCTGAATCCAAGACCTTTTCAACATTTATAGGCCAACAGGCCCTCCCATAGCAAGAGATTTAATTGGAGTATTGACTCCTGTGAGACTATCCTTTTGTAAGCTTTTATTTTAAATCCATAATAAAGCAGGGAACCTATCCATCATTAAAACTCCCAGGGTGTCATTAATTAGGTATGTTAATAAGCCAAGCATTCTAAATTATTCTACTTTGACTCCTAAAGTGCTTCAAAAGTCTTATGAAAATGAGACTGAAATTTCCATGGGAGATGAGCAATTCTTGCAATTTTATTTCATTAAGAAGATGCACCCACACTTCCTCTTCTGAACAAAAACCTAGGTGTATTCCTTTACATAAATCTTTTTGTCAAAGTTATGTTTCTCAGCTGCACTAGTTGCTAATTTATACCATAACTTTCCAGAGGTTGTAAGGATGAGGAGTACCTTGTTTAGGTCCTGAACAAACACTGAATCAATTCCAGAAATCATTCTTATAAAAAAAAAATCATGATCTCCTTATTTGCTTTTTGTCATTTTCAGTTGAAAGTATTTTATTCCAATTTCATAAGAAATATTGTCAGTATTTAAGCATCCAATGGATGGTCATAATGATATCATTTTAGAGGCTATAAAATCAAGGTGAAGGTATGAGTTATTTCCAGTAGTATCTTTGATGTTTTCATTTCACATAAAGACAAAGAATATAAGAGCAGAGTCACACAAGCTAATAAAAGGTCAAGACTCAACATGGAGAGAAACAGAGTCAAAGCTGTTCTAAAAGGCTAATTTCTTCTTGAGCATCAGAACACTGGTTATGTTGTTAGTGTTTCATGTCAAATGAAAGAAGGGGCTAGAACCATGTCTGCAGATGAATGGAGTTCAATGTAAAGCTTGGCCACTGCAGATAGATTTAAGCTTTTTCTTACAGTTTAAGCCCTTCCTTGGAAGTAATGACTTTGTTCAACTTTTGATCACTTTGTTGATTAGGCAAAGAACCATTGTTGGACATTCACAACCATGTTGTTTAATCATTGTTTGTATTATAAAAAAGAGTAAAAATTATCACTCTTGTCTTGGCTTTTAAGTCTTGTCTACACCCAGATGATTGCCGTGGACATATATTGGTGACTCTTCTGCTCATAAGTTCGTCTAAGCCTTCCTTAAGAAGACATATTTGGTTTCTACTCATGTCACCTAGAAATGTAGAGGAATCAAGTTTATCAAGCCCTAGAAAATGTGCCCATTGGTGTGAGTCACTTTGTTTCTGTTGGGAGTGATGGAGAAGGAGAAAGAAAAGGTTTTACATCTGATCCCGTCTTCCTGTAATAATGAGTCATTTGCTATGAGAACACAGACAAAGGAAAGTATGTTACCAAAGCTTCAAAAAGGAATAGAGAACGGCTGCCCAGAGTAAATGACCCTTAAATGAGGAATTTAGCTGAATAGGAACATGGGGAAAGTGAATCCCATACAGAAGGAACTGTGAAAGCAAAGATGCAGAAGCTTAAGAATGCATGTGGTAGGGGCTGGGGATTTAGCTCAGCGGCATAAGTGTCTGCCTTGCAAGTGTACAGTCGTGAGTTCGATCCCTGGTACCGATAAAAACGAAAAAGACAAAAAAGAAAAGAAAAGAATGCATGTGGTACTGGAAACATGGAGTAGATGGTGTGATTAGAGTATTGGGGTGAGTGGAATTTGGAAGGAAGTAGTTAGGGAGGAGCCTGTAGAGGAAGCCTGGGAATAGAGCAGAGCGTGTGGTTGAGATTTCATCTTGTGTGCAGCAATATTTAGAATCCATGTTGACAGACCTCACATTTGAGCTGAGCATGCTGCCCCCAAGGCCTGACCAGCAGCATGACAGCTGACCTGAGGAGAGGGAAACTAACTGGAGAGAATCACCCAGGTTGTGGTGAAGGCTGGGAAGAGTGGGGATGAGAAACTGCAGGAGGGAGAGAGGTAGGTTATGGGAGAGGTGAGGTTATGGGGATGCCAGAGGCTGAGCTTCC